GGTGCCACCTGGCTGCGGAGGGCCGTCTCTTCAGCCTGGTTTGCCCTCCTCTCTCCCTCTCTGGTGTCAGGCTCCTCTGGCTCAACATCCTGTCCGAGCCTGGTGGCCTTGATGGCAACAGTTCATTCTATCTGCAGGGGGCGGCTACGAGCACTCTCTCACGAGACTTCGGCAGACACGAATGTGCACTGAGCTGGGGATACACTCGGGTGGAATTGCAAGGTCATGGGTAAGAAACATTTAACATTTTGTTTTCAGGAGATATTTTCATGTGGTGTGCCAGACACCCAGTAGCCCCACCCCTCACTGACTCTCAGTATTTTCCTGTTTTTGTGGTTTTTGTAGTCATTTTGGTGGTGTGTATTGACAGAGCACCGCAGGATAGCTTTGCCTCCTGATGCCACACGCTGAGCACCTTTGTGCATTTCTTAGCCAGTTGGGTGACCCTTTTTGTGATGTGTCCACCTCAGCCCTCTGCCCATTTGCGTTTTTGCACTGTGAGCCTTTTTCTACTGATTGGTAAAAGTCCTTTATACATTCTGGATACATCCTCTTCAGATGCGTGCTCTGCAAACACCTTCTCTCGCTCTGCGGGCTGCCCTGTCGCTCTCTCAATGGCATGTTAATTTCACAAAGTCAGGTTTGTCACTTTTCCTTTATAGTTTGTCCTCTTTCGTCTGTGTAAGAAATGATCGCTTACCATAAAGATGTAAAGATCACCTCCTACATATCTTCTAGAAGCTTCATGGCCCTATCTCTCACATTTAGGCCTATTTCCAGCTGAAGGGTTTTGTGTGGGGGGTGAGTTAAGGCAGAGGGTCTGTTGGGAATGGCGGTCTTCTGGCGCCCTCCCAGCCAAGGCAGGATGGGCTGTGAGCCTGGAGCGCCCCCTCACCAAGACAGAGCCCTGGCCTGGGCTGGGCTTATGGCCTTATGTGGGAATGTCTTTCCCTGCTGCAGACAGGGTCCTACTGCTACAGTACAAGGGTGCATGCAGGCCAGCGGCCCTGTGTCGGCTGCCAGGAACATGGCCATGGGGATGGTACCCACTGTGGAAGCTGACCTGGCTCTCTCCTCTCTGCGAGCAGAGCGTTCCTCTGTCAGTGACTGGCCGCACTGTTTCCTTGGCAACTCCAATACTGAAATGCAGTGGGGCAGCGGTGCTCAACGCGGACTTGCCATTTGCTCAGCAAGATCCTTTCCCCAGGTCAAGCACCCAGCCAACCCAATGTCAAGTCCCGGATACATCTTCCACTCCTCACTGCACGGCAGTGCACCTTGCACAAACCAGGCGATCGTGGGTGGGAGCTTCTGCTCCTAGATCCCTCCTCTCCCACTGTCTGCTTGTCTAGCCTTCAACAAACACCACACTGTTTCCATTTCCACTGCTTTTTATCATATTCTGATACCTGGTAGAGTAAATTCCCCAATTCTGTTCTTCAAAATCATCTTAACTCTTCAGGGCCCTTTACACTTACATACACATTTTAGAACCAGCTTGACAATTTACACACACACTCAAAACCTGTTGGAGTTTTTATTTGGGTTGTACTGAGTTTACAGATCCTCTTGGTGGGAGCTGACATCTCATTATCAAGTTCCCCAATCTATAAACATGGTATACACCTCCACGGTGTAGGTCTGCAGTTTTCCAGATACAGGCCTTAAACAGCTTTTGACATCTTCCCAGCGTTCATGGCACTACAGATGGCATCGCTTTTTAAGTGGCAGTTCCAAGGTATCCTTTGCACATACCATTTCTTGTGGATTGACATATCAGTAATCCTGTCACGTTCACTCATTAGTTCTAAGCTATCTGCAGATGCATTCACATTTTCTCATGACACGATCTTGTCTCTGAAGTATTTTCTCTCCTCCCAGCTCTCATACCTTTTATTTACTCTTCATATCTTCATGCCCTGGGCATGCCCTCCAGCACAATGGGGATGAGAAGACTTAATACTAGACTCCGTATCTTGTCTTTGATCCCAGGAGAAAAGATTTTAATATCTCTGTAAGAGTGATGCTACATGTAGGATTTCTGAAGATACCCTTTATCGGATTAAAGGCATTCCTATCTATTCCTAGTTCCACTGACAGTTTTAAGTCCCCTGGGTTGGTGTTGAATTTTACCAAATATTTTTCTGTATCTACTGAGATGATCCTGTAGATTCTCTTACTCAATGAACATGGCAAATTACACTGATTATTTCTGAATGTAAACCAACTTTGCATCCCTAGAATAAACCCCACTTTATAATGCTGTGCCATCTTTTTATATGAGGCCAGACTTAGCTTATTAATACATCGGTCAGGAGTCACTCTCTTTCTTATGATATTCTCATTAAGAATCTGCTGGTTTGCTGGCCTCATAGAGCAAGGTGGAATATGTTCCCTTTTCATATTCTCTGTGAAAGTTTGGGTAGATTGGTGTTACTTATCCCTCCGATATTTGAGAGACCTCACCAGTAATGCCATCTAGGTCTGGAGTTTTCTTGGTGGGATGCTTTTTAACTAAAAGAAAAGAAATGGATTTCATTTCTTTAATAAATACTGGACTTTCCAGATTTTCTATATATCTTGGTTGTATACTTTATCTAAATTGCCAAATTTTGGCATAAAGTTGTTCATAAGAGCTTCATAGTACCTTATTATAATTTGTAGGATCTAAAACAAAGTAGTCATTTTTATTCCTGATACTAGTAACTTGAATTTTCTATATATATTTTCATTGATCTCCTAGGTTTTAATAATTTTATTCATCCTTCTAAAGAACCAGCTTTTGGTTTTTTAAGCTTTTACTATTGCGCATCTGGTTTATATTTCACTGATTTCTGCTTTTTCTTATATATTGTCTTCAAACTTAATCTGTTGTTCTAACTTCTCAAAATGGAGAATTAAATCACTGATTTTCACACTTTCCTATTTTCTAGTATATGCATTTAAAGCTAGAAATTTCCTCTGTAACCACTGCTTTAGCTGCAGCCGGCAGGTTTTGATCCCTTGCATTTTCATTTTTGTTCTGTTCAAGATGGTTTCTAGTTTCCACTGTAATTTCCTCTTTGATCCATAGAGATCTAAATGGTACTCTTTAAATTCTCAACCCTTGGCACTTTCGTTTTTGTTCTGAAATTCTAGTTTCACTTCCCTCTGATTAGAGAACATACTCCATATGATGTCGACCCTTTGGGCTATGTTGAAACCTGCTCTGCAGGGCAGCGTATGCATTTTGTGTACTTGAAAGGAATACACATACTCCCGTGGCTGGTGATGGTGTCAATGAACATCAATGAGATCCACGTACATCAATTTGTAGAGTTGGCTGACTCTTCTACATCCTTACTGAATTGTTTTCAGATTATTTTATCAGTCATTTAGAGAGGTGTTTCAAAATCTCCAACTATAATTGTAGATTTGCTGTTTTTCCTTTTATTACTGTCAGTTCTACTTCATACATTCTAAGGCTATATCATTCGGTACATATAAATGTAGAGTTGCATCTTACATTTGAATTAACATTGTATCTTATGCCATGCTCCTCTATATCACCAGTAGACTTCTCCAAGTGACGCCTGCTGATTCTGGCATTAATAGAGCTGTGCCAGTTTCCTGTGGTTTGTGGCTGCACAATAGCTATCTATCTTTTCCAAACTTTCACTTTCAACATTTTTCTGGATTTATATTTAAGAGATGTCTCTCATAAGCACTATACAAGTTTGGTTTTGTTTTGTTTTTTTTTTAACCAAGTCTGTCAATCTGTGCCTTTTAATTGGAGGTGGTAGGCCATTTTACTTTAACGTAATTATAAATAAATTTGGTATAAATCTATCATCTTACAATTATTTTTTCCTACTCCTCCCATTTGCTATTGGCTTTCTTTTAAGTTAATCATGTTGTGTTATCCTCTCATGTGTTCCTCTCTATTAGCTTACTTTACAGCATATGTTCGGTATTGTCTTCTCAGTGTCACCTAGTAACAGGCGTGCATCCTCTACTTAGAACCACCCACCTTAAGTTAGCATCATTGTCATGTCTATGATGGTGCAAGGACATTACAACACTAACACCACCCACCTCCTCTGTGTCTTCTGTGCGCTTGCCGTCCCAGTATCTTCACCTGCCGCGTGTCGCAAACCCCACCAATCATCACTATAGGCTCCCAGTCACCCTCAACTGACATGTAGCTGCATCTTACTCTCCTCAGTGCTACATTCCTTTCTCCACTTCTGTGCTTCCATCTGGATCATTTTCCTTTTTCCAATTTTAGAGAGTTCTGTTGATGATGAATCCTATCAGTTTTTGTTTCTCTAAAAATATTTTCATTCCACCTTCATGTCTGAAAAATTGTTCACCAGATGTGGAATCCCAGGTGAGCAGTTACTTCCCCTTCAGGGATTTAAAGGCTTTAAAGATGGCTTTCCATTGTCACTGGCTTCCATTGGTTTTTTTTAGGAAATCAGGTGTCAGTCTTGTTGCTCCTATAAGAATAATGTGACTTTTTTCTGCAGCTTTCATTTACTTTTAAGGTTTTCTTTTTAGTCTCTGGTTTTCCAACATTTTTTGATGCAACTACGGGTGATTTTAAGAAATAGGATACATTCAAGCTGTGGCTTGAAATATTTGAAGTGTTTGGAAAATTCTCAACCATTACCTCTCCAAATACTGTTTCTGTTGATTCTCTCCCTCCTGCTTATCCAGAGCTCCAATCACACTCTCTTCTGTATTTCCTTCCTACCACTTTCTACTCACAGCAGGGCTGGTCCAATGCAGGTTAGTTCTGCAGAACGAGAGAACCGTCAACGATCCTTACCCTGTATTAGGCCCCCACCCAGAGACCGAAGGTCAAATGCCAATTTTTTTTTTAAATTTTGTTCAAATGCCAATTTTTGAAAGACTATCAAGGCAGACCCCTCAGACGGGGGCCGTGCCCCAAGTCCTCCCTGCTCCTCCCTGTGCTGTCCCCTAAGCTCCACTAACTACAGTAAATATTCGGCACCCACCTGCTGCCTGCCACTCCGTTGCACTGTAGGAAGTAGTGCTCTCAACTTTTCAGCAATTTTCTGTTGGAAAAAGTACAAGACAAAGGGGACAGGAAGGACAGGAAAGGTGGGGAAGAGAAAAGATACAGTTAGATAAAACCCAAAGTACTGATAGTGACTGACAGCAAAGCACATTTTCAGCTCCTGAGACACAGAGCAGTCCTGGGTGCCAGGAAAATTGGAGGCCTGGCTGGGCTCTGCTGATGATCTGTTGGATGGCCTCCTTCCACACATTAAGCTCTGGGGCTCAGTCTCTTCACCTGTCTGAATGGGGTGACACCTGTTCCTCTCACCTCCCAGGATGCTATGGGGATGATGTCCCTCAGGCACCACAAGAAAATAAATGCCCCTCAGTGCACATCCCCTGAGGCCATGCCTGCCTGATCCTGACAACTGTCAAATGTCCCCAAGGCTGGTTTTCCCTCTGCTCTGAGAGATGGGACCATACCAGGCCAACCCAGGGACAAGACAGCCAGAGTAAGTGCTCAAGGGACCAAGCCCCCCGCAACCTGGCCAACAACCTCTACCCACAGGCTCTCACCTTTTGCACCACTCCATAGTGCTGAATGGCATCTGAGACATGAGTTTTTAGGCGGTTCAGCTGAAGACACTCCTGCTACAAAGACAGTGTATGTGTCACCACCAGCCCTCACATAACTCCACACAGCCCTGGCACAAAGCCATGTCAGTGCCCAACACCCTTGAACCAGAACAGTAACATGCTCTCCCCTCCTGTCCCCAGCACCTCCTAGGAGGGCCCTGGCCATTCCCCAGGCCCCATGTCTCAAGTCACAGATCAAGCCCACCCCAGCCTGGGGACTTCTGTGTAGTTTCAACCTGAACCCAGCCCCTGAGCTTGGAATCACCCCTCCTCTGCCACCATGCACTGCCATGCAAGCCCACGGATGTGAAGGAGCCACAGATGTGCCAGTATTTCAGTGAGTTGTGTTTCAGTGAGTTCTGGTTTCCAATGGACACCTTTCAAAGGCACTTGGTAGTATCTGGGCCTAACAGTCCTGTGTGGCTGCAGATCTGTGGAGCCTGTTTCAGTGTCCACATGAGGCTCTTGTAACTGGCACCATATGTGTGCCCAGAACAGAGCCAAGAGCCCAGGAAGCTCTTTAGATCTTTTGAGCAAAACACCTGCAGCTCTCCAGTCCCCATCACCCACCACCAGCTCCGTGGGATCGGCACAGCCTTTCTGCCCTGACAGCAGTGAGCAGGACTGTCAAGGCAGACCCCTCAGACACAGGCCCCACCCTCAGCCCTCCCTGCGCTGTCCCCTGAAGCCAGCCAAGCCACCACGCACAGGACTATGAGCCTCAGAGGGGGTCTAGGCTGTATCCTCCTCCCAATATCCAGCACAGAGTAGGTGTAAAATGAATGTCAGGTCCTTAGGTGGGTGTATGAGTGTACAGAAGGTGGGTAAGTGGGTGGGTGGAAAGAAGGAAGGACAGATGAGGCTGAAAGTGACCCTCGGAACTCCCAAGGAGCTCAGGCTATGGTTTCCTGGCCCTCATGACACACACAGAGGATAGAACATGGGCTGTGGGCCCAGGAGGGCCAGAGTTCAAATCTGCCCAGGGCTCATCCCTGGCTGAGACACCTTGGGCAGGACTGAGTCCCAGTATCCTTCTCCACAAAAAGCGGGTGGGAACACCAGCCAGCAGGTGGTCCGCAGGACTGAGGGAGAAGCACAGGGTCACACCTAAGAGGTTCCCAAGACGTGTCCAGGAATGAATAAGTACCCAAGGGATGAGGCAGGCAGGCAGGGTCAAGAACAAAGCCACACATGAAAAGGCCAACTGTGAGTGCCACTGCCACAAAACTACTTCAGACCTGGCCCGGTGTTGCGTGATCTCCTCATAAGAAGAGCCATGGTGATTTCCACCAGAGTCCAGAACCAGGTGCTCGTCTCCCATCCTGAACAACTGACAGCTGTGGTTAAGTTGTGCAGAGCGGTTCTGAGCTTCCCGTGGGACCTGTAAGGCTTCGGGCGCTGGCTGTCCACCCCATCCATGGACAACTGACTCCCAGCCTGTGAAATTTCTTTTAGCATATTTGGTTTATCAAAGTCTAACTCAACTTCTGGAGCTGGATCTACTTTTATTAAAGTATAACTTAAATTGTATGAAATAAAATTTATCCATTTTCAGTATACAGTTTGGCAACTTTTAATCTAACTCCATTGCCCCAGAAAGTCCCGTCATGTCCTGTGGGTAATCACAGCTCCCAGCCCCAGCGCAGGCCACCACTCATCTCCTGTCTGACCCCCAGGTTTGCACGTGCTCGACTTTCACATAAACAGAACAAGCGCTCTGCCTCTGGCCTCCTGCTCAGCGTCTGGGCTTGGCAGACCCCCAGGCTGGAGCAGTATCAGTGTTCCACACCTTTGACTGCTGGGTGGCATCCTCCAGAAGGCGGTGGCATGCCGTGTGCCTCTTCCCCACCAGAGCCCAACCTCTCTCTGTAAGAGGCCAGGCATATTTTAGGACTTGCAGGCCAGTTTCTATCACAACCACTGAACTTGGCTGTAGTAGCTCACACGGAGCCGTGGGCCATGTGCAAATGAGCAGGTGTCAAGCACAGCTTCGCTCGTGAAAGCAGGCTCTGGCTCTCTTGAAGGTTTAACAGGATTGGATGTTTTGGATACATGCCCTACAACCTTTGGGGACCTGGATGGGGTGCAGGTAACAAAGACGGGTGTGTTGCCCTGGCAAGGGTGGGTAGAGGGATATGAGGCCAATGGTGGGAGTGATGGGGGTCGGGGAGGGCTGCAGTGACAGGTGACTGTCAGAGCTGTGGAGGGACAAGGGCACCGGTACAGTGGTGGCTGTGACCACAGTGGTAACATTTGTGGTCTGATGACAGACTACACGGAGGAGGACACGGCAATGGTGAGGACAGGGAAGGTGCGTGCCGAGGACAGGGACCAGGGAGGCAGGAGAGGGGAGGGGTGTCGCCAACCTCCCTTTGGAGGCACCCAGCCTAGAGGACTCAGGGCCCTCAACCAGGCAGGGAGCCAAGGCACCCACCAGGCCCTGGCGTTCGGTGGGAGCCCCACAAACCACTCCCCTGAACGGGTGAGCCCAGCAGGTTCTGGCCCGAGCTGCCGCGCAGCCGAGTCCCAGGCAGCCTGAGTGCCGCCAGCATGCCGCGGTCCCCCACATGCCCCGCCACGGCCACCCACTGCGCCCGCTGCCCTTGTACTCCCCAACGTACCCGGGGACAGCCCTGCAGGGGTTCTTCCATCCGCTTCAGGGCACCAGCGCTGGCGGCCACTATTCTGCTGGTCTCCTGCTGCACCATGCACCTGAGAAGGTGAGGCCGGAAGGGAGAGGGCAGGGCAGGAGAAAGGGCCAGACGGGAGGAGGCAGGAAGAGGAGAGGCAGGGCGCAGGCCAAGGGCCCACACACAGGGACAGAGGAGCCGGGGTTGGGAAGGAGGGAGAGTACACAGTGAGTGAGGGTCAGGCAGCTGCTGCCCACTGCAGCCACCCCAGACCTGCAGACAGACCGTGGTCCGGGCCCCTGGCCCAGCGGGTTCAGCGTCTGCCCCTGTGAAGGCCCTGCATGAGCCTTCCCTATGGAAGGGCCCCTGGGGGTCAGCTAGACAGGAACCTGGAGGGAACAGGTGGCCACACACATGTCCGTGGACCACAGGTGCGGAAATCCTGGTCCACTCAGCTGGACCCTGAGGGGCTTTGGTGAGATCCCACTAGCAGGCCCAAGTCCCTCCAGCCTGCAGACACGCTTCGAGCGTGACCACCAAGGGGCTGAAAAATCCAGCCCCTCGCCAGCATGGGGTGACCACAGCCCCTCTGGACATAGGGGGCCTGGGGATGAGCTTGCCCTCAGGCCCTCTGTGGGCACACACCCAGGTGAGTGAAGGCAGATACCATAGACCCTCCTGACCCTGCAAGCTGCAACCCAATGCCTTCGTACAGCAGCGGTGGGAATGGGGGCACAGCACAGGCCATGGGGCTGCACATGTGGGAACATCCCAAAAGGCACCCACACAGCCAGGCACCACCTGACAGGGGGATGCCCTGCAGACACGGGTGGGCCCCAGGCCCTGACACAGCATGCAGCACACCGAGGGAGGGGCAGTGGCCTGTGCGGGAAGGGACGCGGGGTGGGGTAAAGTGGAGGACAAGAACCAGCCTGAGAGGGCGTGGGCTGAGGGCCCTCCCCACTGGGGCTGCCAAGGCACTGCATCAACTTCCCCCAAGGTCACTCTCAGGGTCACACCCCACTGAACCCTCTGTACTCTCACCACACCTCTCACCACAGCCCACATGCCTCTCCCCAAGCTGTGGCCCGCACACCACCCGCCATGGCCCACATGCCTCCCCGTCATGGCCCACACGTCTCCCTGTGGCCAGCACGCCACCCCACACCTCATGGCCCACAGCCCACACTCTCTCCAGTGACGTATCCGGCCTCATGATCTGTGTGCCACCATCCCCGCTCACATCCCCACCTGGGCCTCAACTCCAGACTGGCCTGTCCCACGTCCCCCTGGACTCTCCACCTGAATATCCAGCAGACATCTTAAACCCCACGGACCGACACGGGCTTTCCTGCACCAGCCCGCCTGTCCCGCAGGGCCCAGGAGGCTCACGGCACGCCCGCCCCTCCCGTCCCCGGAACCGAAAGCCTTGGTGTGGCCCCTCCCCCTCTCAGCCCTCCGTCCGGCCCACCGGCACATCCCATCAGCAGGTCCACGGGGCACCATTCAGAATCCATCCCACACCCCACTGCTCCCGCGTGCCTCCCCGGGGCGACTGCCAGGCCCCGGCAACCAGTGCAGGCACCACCCTGTGCCCACCGCACACGGCAGCTGTAGAAGCCTATGAAAGGGAAGTGTGGTTGTGTCCCCAGCCCGGAGCCCTCCATGAGTCCCTGGCACACCATGCTCACCACCGCTGTGCCCCACACTCTTTGCCTCAGTGCCCCCTGCCCCACAGCTACTGCTGCTGCCATCCTCGGCTGTGCCAGAGCTTCCGGCGGCCAGAAACAGCCACCTGGATGGTGGGGATTCGGGGTGTGGAGGGAGCGAATCCAAGGCCACCCGGGAAGAGCCGGCGCACGGCTGCCCCGCTTGGCCGTTCTTGCTGCCTCTCCCCCTCCCCGACCCCACCTCAGCACAGGCAGAGCCTCACGTGCGCCGTCTGCCCGCGGCTTCACAGGCCCAGAGCCAGAACACAGCAGCGCCAGAGACGCAGTCTGCCCAGGCCTGCGCCGTGCTGTATGTGCCTCTGTCCCCCTCAGGAGCAGGTGGGATCCGCTGCGCAGGGTCCCAGCGAAAGAGGCCTCCCCACCCACCTGCAACTCCAAAGTGCCACGCCACTCTGCTGAGGCCTTTGCCAACCAGAGGATGCGACCAGCACAGCCAAGCAGCAGTGAAGGCCCGTGGTGGGGGAAGTGCACCGGGCGAGGCGGGGCGGCAAGCTGCAGGGGCCAGGATGACCCACCTCCAAGCTGACGGCTGTGAGGCGTAATGGTGCAGACCACCCTTCCCCAAAAAGAGGAGAAACTAGATGGTAATGAAAACACAAGAAGTGAGCTATGGAGGCAGCTAGAGTTTAAAGGGACCTTAGATTCTTCCCTCAGGAAAGAGAAAAGGGTAAGTCAAGTCTGCACCGTCTACCTAAGCAGCTAGCAAGCTGAACACAATGGAAGAGGAAAGAGATGGCGAAGTTCAATAATTAACAAAGCAGAACACACACCGATGACAGGAACAATCAACAGAATCAGAAGGTACTCTTAGGAAGCATCAGAGAGCCGCACAGCTGTGTCCAGACGAGTCAAGGAAAAGCCCAGGTGACCAATGAGGAGCGAGTGGCCGGGCCTCCACGCCCGCAGGAAAGGGCAGGTCAGGAGGGACTGCGGCTCACATTCCATCAATAAATTTCACACCCTGATGAGGTAGAAAAGTTTCCTCATCAAAAACAACTCGAGAAGAAAGGAGAAAACCTAAATAGCTCTACAGCTGCTGAAGGAATACAACTTGTCCTTAAAAGCATCCCACAGATGCCACATACAGGGGCTTCCCTGCCAAACACTTACGGAGGTAATGCCAATACCACACAAATGTCTGCAGAATACACACGGCATCTACCTCTCATGAGGCCAGCAGCACCCACGACCCAAACTCAATCTAAAAGAAAAGGACACTCCAAGTCAGTCACAAACACGGTAGTAAAAATACTGAACAAGATACTGGAAAACTGAATCCAAGGACATGGGAGAGGAATAATACATCAGAACCTAGAGGGGTCCACCCAGGGAAAGCAACATTCAAAAACCAATTAATGTGATTCTCAGATTAACACAATAACTTTTAAAAGAAAATCATCTCAATAAATCATGCAGAAAAAGCATTTGTCAAAATTCAATGCCTATTCATTATAAAAACGCTAAGAAAACTAGAAAAAAATAAGGTAATTTGTTCAAGCTGATAAGAACCTGTAAAACAAACCAGCACACATGTGCTTGTGGAGGGACACAGCGCGGCCCCTAAGATGGGGACGGGGGGGAGGGGGGCAGGCGCGCTTTCCCTGCTGTCCCTCGGCACATTTTACAAGCTTCGACACTCTGAAATCACACACTCACAACATTTAAGCAGAAAAGGGGAAGGCACATAAGATCAAAAACAAAGTCAAACTGCTTCCGTTCAAACAGAACATGCTCTTCCATCAAGAAGACCCTAAGGAGTCAACCAAACTGCCCCAAGAACTGATGAGGGGATCGAACAAGGTCACATACACAAGGCAACAGACAAAATTAGTTGCACTTCTGTGTACTTATGTGGAAAATGAAATTTAAATAGTAGTGACATGACAGTATAAAAAATGTGAAATTGTTATGATAAATATAACAAAACACATGCAAAACCTGTCCACTAAGACCTGGACGGGACTGCTGAGAGAAATGGAAGTCCACATAAATAAAAGGCTTGGCCACGTTCACGGGTCAAGATTGTTAAGATGTCAATTCTCCTGAAATGGATCTATAGATTCAATGTAATCTCAATTAAAATTACAGCAGACGTTTTAAAACACAGGAATAGACAAGCTGACTCTAAAATTTGTATTGAAATACAAACGACTGGAAGCATTCATAATTTCCAAAAAGGAGAACAAGGCTGTGGGATGGATGCACAGCTCATCTGAGGCTCTGAGGCTTCAGGGATCGAGACGGGGCAGTGCTGTGACAAGGACAGCTCAGATGGGCAACACAGGACAGTCCCCAAATGCACCCATATATGCATGATCAAGTGATTTTTGGAAAAGGTAGTCCTCTCAACAGACGGAGCTGGGACAACTGGGTAAGAGTGTTTTTAATTAGCCTGCACTCGTACCTCATGCAGCACTCTGTGCCCAAGGCAGGGGTCTAGGGGCCCCAGGACACACAGCAGGAAGCCTGGGGTGGCCAGGCAAGTCTAGGTAGGCGTGGTCTGGTGGAGGTGGGGACGGGTGAGTGGGTGGGTTGAGGGGGCAGCACTGTACATAAAAGGTGGCCAGGGAGGGCAACAAGCAGAGCAGCCGGCCGGGGAGGGAGGCTTGGGGTCCCAGGCCCGGGAACTGACCCCGCACCTGGCAGGGCCCAGCAGGCTGGACAGTCCTGGGAGAGATGAGGCTGTGGGGCGGTGGGAGCTGGGGAGGAGGAGACACATTTTAACAGCACAGGCCAGGGCGGGCAGGGGTGCCCATGGCCACCTCCCAAGTCCCTAGGCCACTGCAGGAGCCCCAGCACAGGAAGGATACCAATGCAGGAGAGGCTAGAAGAAGGCAGAGGAGCCAGCGGAGGAGACTGACCCATGACCCAAATGAGGGAAGGTAGAGCCCAGGAGAGCCAGGCACAGCTTGGGAGAAGCCTCTAGACAGAGGGAGCATCTCAGCAATAAAAGCACAGATCACCCAATTCAAAAACAGGCATAGGCTCTGAATAGGCTGGCCTTCAAAGGAGACACACAAATGGTCAGCACCACATGAAGACCCCGGCGTCACAGTGAATACAGACCAATCCACAGGGCGAGGCCCCTCGTCCCCAGCAGGCGGTTGGCTCAGAGGCGGAGCACCCAGCACTCGGGGAGGGCAATCGGAACACCTCGTGCTGCTGGCGGGACGTAAACAGTTCCGCCACTCAGGAAAACGGGCTGGCAGTTCCTCGAGGCAGTAGACCTGGCGGTTCCAGCCAAGGCACGCTCCCAGGGGAGCTGGAGACATGCCCACACAGGCCTGCACACTGCCCTTCCCGGCAGCGTGACTCACAGCAGCCAGAGAACCCCCCGAGCTATCCACAGATG